TAAATATAATCTCTTGGTGGTCCAAGTAACCAAATTTGGTGGCCAAATCCACTACAGAGGAAAAATACAGCTGTCTAGCAGAAACTGCAGTAGAGTCAGTGAGGATCCTTTGTGCTGAACTGTGTCTTAGTTTCCACTTGTACCATCTATTACCATGCCAAACATACAATATTTTTTTTGTTTGAAAAAAGGAGTTGAACAACACCATCTTCATCTCGAATTTCAGCTTTGGATTGCATATATCTCAACCAAATCTCCATCCCAGCAAAGTTTTCAACATTGAGAGACAAACACAATGCATTGTTTTGAACCACACTGAGTTTGCAGGGGATGATAGATGAATATCTGTAGTTGCTACAACATTTAATTAGGTTGACCATTGGTCAACATCGCTAGTACTCAGTTTTTCGTGGTTCGTTAGTTCTGCTAGTCTTCAACAGCTGTTCACAGTAATTGTCATCTTTAAGAGATTGAGGAGCCTGTTAAGTAAGCCACTGTCTCCATAAATAGGGACTAATGTACTGATATAATTATTACTGTTCTAAGCAATGAAATAAGGTTCAAATTATGTCACTCTGACACCTAAACAATAACTGAAAAAATCAAAACTTCAACTATTTGTCATTCAGGAAAAGAATTATTTAAAGGCATCAGATTATGAAGTGTTCAATACATAAAAACCATGGACCATTCTCCATTCTTCAAGTGCCATGACACATAGCTATTACATAAACTAATACATCAGTAAATTGGTCAAGCTTCATTTTATCTGGTAAGAACCAATGGATTGAAAGGAGTTCATCTATACAGATGCAGGCTTCCAGCAAGGAGGTGAGGAGAACGCTTAGAGTGGTCCCCTTCCATTCTAGTCCTATTACTTGAATAGTCTAAATTAGAGGATATATATTCACACACCCAAAGACATACCTTGTCAAAATAAAGTCCAATCGCACAATATAGCAGTGTATCAAGTATCATCATCAGAAGACATGCAAGAAAGTTCACTCCAGATGATTCCTGAAAGATAAATATCTCAGAAATTTGGGGTAAAAAGAATGGGTTAAAAAAGTAATGTTAACAACCACTCAAAAACTCACCCTCCATATGTTACTCCAACGAAGTCCGACATGTGCACGCTCATAATCGGCAAAGTTGATCGAACCCAAAGCAAAGGCAGTAGGTGAAAGCAAAGAAGCAATAACCTTCAAGATTCTGAAGGTCGACGACCTCAATGAATAAAATGTAGACTAATATAAAAAATCGAACTACAAAAGTAACAGTTATTTAAAGGACAAGCACTCACATTGAAACTCCCTCGTCATTTACTGTGTAATATGGGAAAAAAGCTCCAAGAAAAGATAGAGTTCCAACAGCTACAGCTGTTTTAGCCCGTTTGAAAAATGTTGATATAAGGAATGAGAGCATGATTGCACTTAGCCCAAAAGCAAAAAAGTATGCAAACACCAGTGTCTTATCACTATACTTGAATAAATTATACATGGTGCAAGCTGTAAGGATTCCAGAAGAAATTGCAAACTGCAAACATGAAAATATAAAAAGATGAGAAAATAACAATTTCTTAATCTAGGAATAATTAGAATCTCATCACAGCATATAGTAATACAATTATTTCCTACTGGAAACACAATTTAAGGTAAGAGAATAAATAAAAGAATTGAGTTACTATTAGGTTCCTAGATTTGGAACCTAACAACACACCCTCTCGATGCCGATAAAAGAGATGAAACCCAAACAATAACACCACTGACAACAGATAATAGAAATGAAAGAATGGATTCTCTTATTCACAGTAGTAGAATTGTCACTTTACAGAGAATGGGATTGGGAGCATAACCTCCCTGGTTGAGAGCATAACCTCTCTCTATAGGCTAAACCTGACTTTACAAAATAATACTCGATAATCCTCTACAGAGTTACAAGAGCTCTATTTATATCAGCTCTGACCCGCTACCCCTTTTACAACCGACACCCCCACACCCTTAACTCCTAAACTCACCTATTCTATCATCTTATATCCTATCATTACACCCCCCTGCAGAACAACCTTATCCTCAAGGTTGGAGCCGAAAAACTTGGTCTCTTGGCTCCTCTTCATCATCTTGTTATCATCTGAAGAGAACCACTGGCTACTGCCCACCAATTCAGGTCGAGAGGCTTAGGTGGTGGCAATTCCTCCTCCACTATCTTCCATTCTTCCTCTTTCCTTCCTATCACCCCCAATCCCACACCAAGATCCACGGGTCTACTTCCTTTATTTTTAACAAAGCTTCTGGCTCCCCCCACCTTCTAGCTAGTGTTGGATCCCCATTGTTGAATACCTTCTTCCCTCCTTGATTGAACACCCTAGATTGTGGCTGGCTCCACTATCGGTCAAAACCATACCCGTTCGGCTCCCTATCAAACCGTTTGGTTTCATCATTTTTGGCTGAGTGAGGCCTCCAGCCGAGAAAACAGACATCTCCATCTTCGGTCTCCGCTTCCTCAGTCTCCAACTCTTCATCCTCCCCCAAAATAACCGTCCCTCAACTCTTTTCTGGCCATTGATGGCCTGGACCGAACGGTCGTCCTGGATTATGGCGATCGGCCTCTGACCGCTCGATAACTTTCAATCGGCATGGGTTATAGCAATAGGTCTCGGACAGTGTCAACTCTTCGCTCGGTCGTCCCCGAGACGATTGGTCTTCAATCCCGCTCCCGTTCCCGACCTTTTCACCTCCCTGGAATTCTTCAACATCCTTTGCAATCCGCATCGCCACCATCCCCGTCTGTTTCGATGCCCCCAAACGCTCAATGTAGGTTCCAAACCTTGTCACCAGGGCTTCCTTCAACCCATCCCATGAACAATTCTTGGCATTCTCCTTCCAGGCTCTGAACCAGTAGCCCGCTCTGCCCTCCATGCTTATGTCCGCGAACCGCACTTTCTCCTCCTCCGCTACTCCTTGAAGCTCGAAAACCCTCTCCGCCCTATTG